TGGAATAAAGGGTGTTTACAATGGATTAAAACCGTACTCAGTATGGGTGCCAAGGTTGAGAACCCATTTTGTGGCTGCCATCTCCCTTTGTAGGGCAGTCCAATAAACATTAGATTGTAAAATTATGACAGACATGGACTCAGAACCATGGGACATAAAATGTTTGACTAGAGGAGAAGATGTGTTTAGTCCAGTTTTTACATCATACCTGTGTTGGGAGAATGTAGTCAGCAAGGCCTTTTCAGACTCACCCACAAAACGGAAATCACAAACAGTGCATGAAAGTAAATAAATACAATTTTTTGTCCGCATGGTAGCTGTAGTATCAGTTTCAAAAACACGGTTGGTGGATTTGTTTTGAATCCACTTAGTTCGTTTAAAGAAATTCTGAGATGTCATAGTTGTGCGTTTAGATACTAGATCACATTTTGCATGGACCAGATTGTCTTTTAGGTTTTTATTCCTCCTAAATGCAGCAATCACCCTATGGTTAGGGAGAATTTGGTCCTCATTTTGCAAAGTCTTAATGTTTTTCTTAATTCTTTTAATCAGTCCCAGTGAAGAGCTAGAATAAGAACAAACAAATGGCAGAATAGGTGTGTTAAGAATGGGTTTTGATTGTGAGAAGTCCTTAAAACACTTTCTCAAAAATGACCGAGAGTAGCCTCTAGTGGTCAAAACAGAGAATAGCAACTTGGTGGCAGAAATGAAGTCAGACTGTAAAGAACAAATCCTATGAAATCTAAGTAATTGAGATTTAACCAAACCAGAAAATGTGTGTTTTGGATGAAAACTAGTTTTATGGAGAAGAGCATGAGTGTCTGTTTTTTTAAAAAAAACTTTAACATCCAATCTGTGAGTGGAAGAAAACGACAGGCCTTTGTACGTGGTTGTGTCCAGGAAATCAACTGATAATGGATTAGTTATAGCCTTAAGAGTGATAGATGGGTTGTGTGCGTTTAGTGTATTCAAAAAAACATGAAAGTCTTCAACCGAATGAGTCCACACTCCCCAGATATCATCCAGATATCTATAAAAGTACAGAGGTTTTTTCACACATATTTGAAATACTGACTCCTCCCACTGTGCCATATACAGGTTTGCATAAGCGGGGGCAAATTTCTTACCCATGGCTGTCCCTTTAATTTGTAAAAAATACTCCCCATTGAATTCAAAGTCATTTTTAGTCAAATTTATGGACAACAATTCCAGAAGTTCTTTATCTGGGCGTTTAGGGTCCGGGTATCTGTCAAAAATCTGTCTCACAATAGAAACACCTTCAGTTGAATCTATGTTTGTGTACAGATTCACTACATCCATAGTGAAAAGAATTGCTTCATCTGGAATGTACAAACTCGAAATTTTATGAACCAAATCATAAGTGTCCTTAATGTAGCTTGGATGTTTGGTGGAAAGAGGTGTTAAAAAATATTCAATATACTCTGCTGATCGGTACGTCTCACTACTGCAGTCGGATACAATGGGTCTACCCGGTGGTATTATAAATGGTGTGGGCCAAGTTTCCGGCTCCTTGTGAATTTTAGGTAGCATGTAGAATAAACGTGGTCTCGGAGTAGAAGTACCCAGAAGGTATGTTTTTTGTTTAGAGGTAATGTAATTCTTATGTAATAAACGACTGATAATATCCTGAACAACAGGAACGGTGTCCAAAAATATTGGTTTGTCAAGTCTGAGATAATATTTTGTGTCACTGAGTTGTCTCATTCCCTCTTTTAAATATTGATCCCTGTCCATAATAACTATAGAACTCCCCTTGTCTGCCGGTTTGATGACTATTTGATCATTAGACACTAGTTCTGCTAGGGCCAAAGATTCGGCTTCACTAAGATTAGGAAGTTCATTAGACATTTTAAATTTGCAATCAAAATATTGTAAATCTTGATGAATCATGCTGGGGATCTGATGAGGTAAAGTATTAAGGGCCGGAATCCACTGGGAGGTGGATGTAAAAGGTTGAGCAATCTTTCTAGTGTTATTTTTAAAAAAACAAGACAACATAATACGTCTGTGAAATTGTTGTAAGTCAAATCTAGACTCCAAATATTTCTGCTTTTTCTTATTATTAGGTGAAGGGATAAAAGTCAAACCCTTGTTCAAGAGAGAGAGTTGAGCCTCAGACAAAGAAAAACATTCTGATAAATTCACAACATTACTTTTCCCCTTTTTTGAAAGCAGACTTGAGGGGGCCATCATTTTACTCTCCTCCGTCTAGATGTGGTCTGTCCAGCACCCAGAGGAACATCAGGAGGGTCCTCAGTCACTTGTCGCTGTGCAGAACGCAGGGAACGTTGAGGCAGAACTGGAGAGTCCACCTGTGGAAGCAGGGGGGCCGGGGGGGCCCCAGCCTCCATCTCAGCAACATAGGCATCATGCAGACGGTCCAACATGGTTTGGTTGGGCCAATCAACATGCTCAGACAGATCAGTATCCTTCTCACATAGAGCAAGAAAATCATCTAAAGCAGATACCTCAGACAATGTTTCACTATTTCTATGTGATACTTTAGCCACAGGAATAAATCCCTCAGACAAGTCCTCAGAGGGGAGATGAATAAGGTCAGTCTCATCATCCTGTGTGGTCTGAGGTGCTACTGCTGAAGAAGAGAGTTTTACAGAAACACATGACATACCTGGGCCACCATCCGTCATTGTGGCTGAGTCAGAGGTGGTAACAGAGGCACGGTGAACTTCAGCTGTATGGGTGAGCTTCAACGGTGCCAAGGTCCTGCTCTTTGTAGTGGGTGGAGCTTCGCTTTTGTGGCCAGAGGGCTCCACTACCCCACTGTGGGAACCCACTTGTCGGGTTCTGGAGGACTCAGGAGGTCTCTGGGGCATAGGAGTGGTGTGAAGTGGTGTGGGGGGCAGGATCTGTGTCGAAGATGGAGGTAGAGGCAGGGTGATGTCATCACCTGTGGGAGGAGTCGAAGCTGCAGCCGGTCTTGGACGTGAAGCAGGTGGATCCAGCATGATGAGTGGCGGTGGAGGGGGGGGTTGGTGGGGTGGTCGGACGGGCGGAAACGACGCGTCATAGATGGTCTCCCTCATGATTCGATGGGCGGTGTCTAGCGTAGATTGACGCAGTCGTCTCCCCAGGCCCCGTCGGGCCCACTTTGCAGCAACCTCAAAGGGTGC